TTTTTTAAGTTTAATAAGTACCAAAAATATTCTTTAAACTAAAAGAAAGTCTCAGCAAATTCACAAATGTATCTGATGACATCACACAACTACAGATATTTAAAACAAATCAGTAGCTCCACCTTTCTGGACATTATAAGAGTGTAAATTTAAATCTTTCCTTGGATGGGCCGACTATTACGCCAAAAAACGGATACCAATTTGATTACTTTCAAGTGCGTAGCAGCTTTATTCATAAAACACCACAGCTGGAGACTCCAACGACAGCATATTTTAACCCAGTTTCCTAGAGTTTCAAAATACGTTTTAAGAACATGAAACCCAAACTCTGCCAAACCCGGGTTTCAGGAAACCGGGTATCGTAGCGAGTTTTATAATTTTCTTAAGTTTTGCACTCCGGACTGGTTTGCCTCAAATTGTGATTGGGAAACTCCGAAGATAAACGGGACTGTGCAGTGGGTCGAAATAGCTAAAATCGTAATTTACAACAAGGGGCGTGTAAACGGTGGGACTAACTATGATTCCCAATTCCTTATGAAAAATAAAGTTTTTAATTAATTTTTGACAACGCGGGGAAATCAAATATAAAACAGTTTAAATATTCTTAAACGCATAATAAGTTAAATAATTACGGGACGCATTCTAAAACCGAATCCAGGTCGGAATCCAAATTTAACTTTAAATAGTTAAAAACAAGAAAAGGATTTATTGATATCGATAATGTGACTTATTCACTTTAAAAGCCGTTGTTTATTTGTTGTTTATGTGTGTCTCACTTTCTCCATGTGTATATAAACTACCTCCGTTTTATCTCATGCAATTAATTATTTATAAAAATAGATAGATAGATAGATATATTTAATTATTCATATATAGATAGATATACGTTGACACAACGCTAAAATACAAATTAGACACCGGAAGTACATTTATAAGAAAAGTGCAACTTCCTGTTTTTGTTTTAAAATTTAACTGGCTTCTTTCCTTGTGTTATCTATAGTGTATCATTTTTACACAATTCTGACAAGACAGAAAACTTATTTGTCGTCATTAAATTCTCATCCTTTTTTAAAAGTGGTGAAAAGCTCTTTAACAATCTTGTCACTTCAGATTAAACCAATATGCAGTTACGTCATATGAGGATTTTGATTGTCCATTATTATGCAGACGATATTTTCCATAAATTGGAGTGCATCATTCAGTCTTGCAACCCATCCTATACTTTTAAATTTTATATATTTTCGTTTTTCCAGCTTGAAAAGTGTTTAATTTTGACAACTTACTCAACTGTTTCTGTTGCAGAAATGAACATAACTGAATATATTTAATTCAGATGACATGATGGATTATTGATCATTTTTTTATCATAGAAAGCTTTTTAAGGTAACTTTTCAGATCGGATACACCACTTGTCACTTAAAATTATGTGTATACCATCCATTTAAAGAATACGATTGTTCATTTTATTGTTTTAAAACTTTGTTTAAATAAAGACGACAATAAGAACGATATTCCACGATATATTATGTGATCCTATTCATGAATAAACAAACAAGTACTTTTGATCCACGTCTCGCCTTTCATGCATCTAAATCTATAGTCTATCTTGATCTATGATGTATCTAAATCTATAAATATATCTTGATCTATGATGTATCTAAATCTATAATCTATCTTGATCTATAATGTATCTAAATCTATAAATCTATCTTGATCTATGATGTATCTAAATCTATAAATATATCTTGATCTATGATGTATATAAATCTATAAATATATCTTGATCTATGATGTATCTAAATCTATAAATCTATCTTGATCTATGATGTATTTAAATCTATAAAGTTATCTTGATCTATGATGTATCTAAATCTATAAATATATCTTGATCTATAATGTATCTAAATCTATAAATCTATCTTGATCTATGATGTATCTAAATCTATAAATATATCTTGATCTATGATGTATATAAATCTATAAATATATCTTGATCTATGATGTATCTAAATCTATAAATCTATCTTGATCTATGATGTATCTAAATCTATAAATCTATATTGATCTATTATGTATCTAAGTCTATAAATCTATCTTGATCTATGATGTATCTAAATCTATAAATCTATCTTGATCTATGATGTATCTAAATCCATAAATCTATCTTGATCTATTATGTATCTAAATCTATAAATCTATCTTGATCTATGATGTATCTAAATCTATAAATATATCTTGATCTATGATGTACCAAAATCTATAAATGAATCTTGACCAATAAATGTTTTTTCATTAGTGATTTAAAATCTTGTAAAATATGCTCTATAAATGTTTTCATTAGTAATTTAAATTTGTATACTGTATAAAGATACTTAATCTAGTAGTATTGTTATTGATTCATAAATGTATCTATGTCTATAAATGTATTTTAATCTATAAATGTATATATAAATGTATCTAAATCTATAAATGTATCTTGATCCATAAATGTATTATGATCTATAAATGTATCTATAAATGTATCTATAATGTATCTAAATCTATAAATGTATAAATGTATCTAAATCTAGAAATGTATCTTACAATGTAAACTGCAATTGTTAAGGTAAAAGAATAATTTAATGTAATTTTTTTTCCAAATATCTATATATATCAAGTTGTAATCTCTGTTTGTCTGTTTGTTTGTCCGATCATAACTCGGGAACCGCTGTACTGATTTGCATCAACTTTTGAATGGGGAACTCGGAAGAGCCACGAGAATGTTCTTAGCTTAGTTTTGAGATGCTAATTTAAGTTGGTCAAATTAGCTAAAATCATAATTTACGATCAGGGGGCGTGTAAATGGTGGGACTAACCATGATTTCTCTTGTTCACTCTGGGTTCCCAATCAAGTATATAAATAAAATCAACGACCAAATGAATTTTTAAAACGAGAGATAAAAAAATCTTTTTCCTCTAAAATTTAACTATACAAAAAAGTAAACTAGAACTAGAGTTCCTGGTTAGAAGAATGTTAAAAGTAAAGTAAGTATTAAAACCACTGTGAACTAGAGGTCCTGGTTAGAAGAATATTAGAAGTATTAAAACCACTGTGAACTAGAGGTCCTGGTTTGAAGTTAAGTGGTTATTAAAACTTTATCACTATTTTTTTCCTAAAATGTGGATTTCATATTTTTTATTTTATACTTTATTGTTGGGATATATATAATTTTTATGATATTTAAAATTTATGTTTTAATTACAAAATTGTAGATTAATCAAGTGAACGATCCCTTAACAGTTGATCTTTCCATCCTGTCTTTTCTGAATTAAACTCAGTCATGTGTAACATCGTTTTTCATAAAAAATCAAACCTTTAAAAAATAATCAATATAAATCTTTTAAAATGCTAAATCATCGGTCATAGTTGACAGAGCATAGCTGTCAATAGAAAACTTTAGAATGGGGAATACTAACTTTAGAAAACACCTGTTTTTAATTTTCCCGCATTTGTGTTATCTTATCAAATAGAATAATAATCGATTGAACGAAAGTAAGTTTCGGATCAATGTTTATGAAGACTTACGATTAAAAGGACTATAGTCATCAAATGTGATAAAATATTTTCTTGATAAGTTCATATTAACATGATTAATTTTATATTTCTTTGAATGCTCTAAAAGTCGGCTTGTAA